CCATAATAGTCATAATTGCAAATTTTACAAGAGTAAGTAAAATTATATAGGTAGATATTTTTGCTAACAAATATTGCAGTTCACACTTTTTCTTGGGGGGAAGGGGGTTATGAAAAAAATCTTAAAATGAAAAGGTGTTGTTTGATATTATGACAATTATGAGGAGTTATATGAGAATCATCGAAGTTAAGAGTGGTTTTCTAATATTTAGCATTTTATAAAACTGTTTTTTAGGGAAAAAAAGAGTAAGGTCCCACAAAGTAGACCTTAGCCTTGACTTTCATTTCTCAAAATGGTTATTTTAATAGATGAGCTACATCTCAATCTAAAAGTTTAGCTCAACTAGAATTCACTACCGGTGATTTAGACGATTAGTAGTTTCTAATATGACTACCCTAGTCTTGGGTTCAATTCTAGACAAGGTTTTTTTTAAAAAAATGTAGTTCAAGTAGTGTCAAAAGTTTCCAAAATTCAGAAAAAGAAATTCCTCATAGTATCGAAGCTATTACATAAGGATCTTTTAGCAAGGCATGCTTTGGCGATTACAGTGGGCTTAAAAATTCTTAGCGATCCTCTGTATGATATTTAAAATCTTTAAGCAGTGATTGTTTTGGAATTCTTTTGTCTCATGTTTGTGTTATGCAATTATTTCTTTTCAGACTTGTTTTCGGCTCTATAACCTAAAAAATGTTAGAATATTGTTCGTATAATAACTCTTATTTGAATAATAACAAACTCTCATTTACTATTGATATACTTTGTGAGATGATGTACTTCATGTAGAAACAGGTATGAGCAAGATGCGGTTCGAAACGATGCAAAAATCAACATGAACGTTGATTTCAGCCTTCGAATCATCGATGGTCAGCATCTCATCAATGATTATAGAAGTCAATCGGAGGAAAATAAAAATAGGAATTGGCACCATCAATGGTCTACAAGGACACATTGATGGTTATAAGGAACCACCCATGGTTATAGGAGACAATCGAACAAATTTAGAAACCAGAATTAGCACTATCGATGTCTACAATTGAATCATCGATGACCACCTAGGGGCCATCAATGGTTCTGATCTATCATCGATGGTTATGACACAATTTAGAAGTTTTTTATGATTTAATCTCAGTCGTTCGTTGACTCATTTGATCTCCTATTTACACTTAGATTTGGGTATCTATTTTCTGTCCTATCGAGGTTACTTTAAGGAGAGTTAGAGATCATAATTAACAAAGAAGTCCAATGAGGCAAATACATAAAAGGAGAGATCTTCTCCTAGGATTTGAGAGAGAGTTGATTAAATCCACTGAGACTAATTTAGCCTCTTCTCAGCATACTTTTCATCGGAGTTTGATTCAGTGAGAAGGAGTGCCCTACACTTACATCTCTATGTCGCGTCTTTGTGGATCTTCATCTTCATCGATTAAAGAATGCTTAGCTAAATGGCTGTAAGATTGTTTTATTTATGCTTAATTATTTTTTGGGTTGTATTTCAAACTTGAAAATTTGCCAGCGTACTCAAGCTGGGGTAATTAAGGGTTGGGCTAGCTAAGGCTAGGTTTAACAGTGTACTAAAATTTGAACAATTGAGGGTTAGGCTAGCCAGGGCTACATTTCTTTCGGTCATTGCAAAGAGTTAGGTTAGACAACTAATTTCGACTAGATTCTAGGGTGTGGTCTTCGAAGCCTATTGAATCGAGTTGTGATTCAAGTGAATTCTGTTCATAGTGAGGAAGGCCCTCCACGAGAAGAAAGAATGGATATAAGATTTCTATTTAAACCACTATAAAATCTCATGTGTTCCTATGCTGGTTTGCTTTTTATTTTTCATTTATTATACTTTACACTGCATTTTCTATGTTTTAGTCATAAAATTATAGTAATTTCATTCACCCCTCTTGCATCCTACTTCCAACAAGTGGTATCAGAATCATACAGATATTTAGGTATCACAATATAGGGTAAAGATGTCAAGCCTTACGCTCGTTTCAGCCTTTCCTAAAGGAAATGCCATCAACTATCCCCAACTTTTTGACGGCACCAATTATATATATTAGAAATCATACATAAAAGTCTTTTTGTTTTCTACTGATTTTGATATTTGGGAGTGTGTTGAACGCGAGTATCATAATCCTACTAAGGATAAAGAAAGAGTTATTGCTGAAATTCCTATGGATAAATGGACTACTCAACACGAAAAGACTTACTCTTATAATTTGAAAGCTATGAATACTTTGTGTTGCTCTTTTACTGTTGAAGAATTTAATAGTGTCTTTAATTGTACTACTGTGAAGGAACTTTAAAAGACACTAAAAATTACCCATGAAGGAAGTTCACATGTAAAGGAGGCGAAGCTTACATTATTAGTAAGCAAGTATGAAAACTTTAAGTTGAAGGCCTGGAAGAGCATTTAGGACATGTTCACGTGATTCACTGACATCATGAACAAATCGAAAGTCTTAGGGAAGAAGTATAAAAATACGGAGCTGTGCAGAAAGATACTCCGTTCTCTATCACGTGGTTGGGAACCTAAGGTAATTGCTATTGAAGAACTTTAGAATTTTTCTAATCTATATCTTAATGATCTTGTAGTCAATCTTATCACATATAAAGTTAGGCTGAAAAAAAGAGAAGACACCTTAGGAGAAGACTCAAAGAAGAAATAATTAGCCTTCAAAGCAAAAAGGAGAAAAATCTTAGTCCAAATTAAAGAGAGATTTGAACTCAGATTCATATAATGAGAATGAGATTGGAATGATAATTAAAGGATTCTAATCCTTTTCGAGATCGAGAGATGGGCAAAAAATCATGAAGAATAAACAGTATTAAAGTTCTACCGAGGTAATTAAAAAATATTAATTTGAAGATTCTAATCTTGATATTATATATTTTCATTGCAGGAATCCAAGACACTACAAAATGGAATGCCCTCTCAACAAGATGAATATTAGAGGGAAGAATAAAAGTTTCAAAGCAACACCTTGGGAATTCTCAAGTGACGAAGAAGATTCACACAATCACACCATTGATCAAAGTCATTGTCTTATAGCTAGTATTTAGACTAGTAAAGAGTTAAATGATGAATCTTTAGATGAGGAAGCCCATTGGAGATCTACGGAACATGAGAGTACTTGGTATTTGGATTCAGAATGTTCATGTCATATGACTGGTACGAAGAAAATTATTCCTTGATCTTGATAAGAAGAAAGGTGGAGATATGGCTTTTAGAAATAACAAATGTAAGATTATAGGACTCGGAGATATAGGTAATGAATTATTTGAACTCCTTAAAGTTTTCCTTGTTGATGGTTAAAGCATAATTTCATCTCCATTAGCCAGCTTTTTGACAAAGATGCGTCTAGTATTTTTTAATCTAAAGTATGCAAAATAATTGATTCACAAATAGGTTTGATTGATTTTATTGATAATAGATATGCTAATGTTTAC